CTTCTGCCCCTGGTTGACCCATACTCAACTAAACCAAGCCTTCAGAAAAAGGTGCTCTGTTTAATCTGACTTCATTTTATGCCTCTTTAACCATGACCAATGTATTTAAATGGCTGTTTCTTCAACAGATCCTCAGTTCAAATTATTCCTAACTGGAAATTTGTAGGAGTGGTATTAAATATCCTTCAGGCCGGGATGCCTAAAGAGAACATAGGAACATCAAAAGGCCAAACACATCAAAAACTAAAACTAATGATCTTAGCCCACCTGTGGGGATAAGGAGGGTTTCAACTCTGTCCAATAACCCGCTGGCGATAAAACACCTCGTTTCTTTAAATGGGGATTTGACCATTCGACCATCCTGCTACTGCTAACTTTAGAAATGATTTAATATGAAATACATAATGTATATTTCCCAATAACTGAAACCAATGGGAAGTAGTTGCGGCGAATATGAGCTATCTTATCTGGCATATCTACACCGGTCTTTGGAACTATCGTCTACAATATAAGCTGAATTAATAGGAAAGCTTTCATTTTCCCAATTTGATATACACTCTGACATAAAGGGTTTTTTTCCCCAACATTTCCTCAGAAATATTTTTATTTTGATCTGCAGATTCACTAACTAAAGAAAGACTGAAACCTCCCAGAGGCTAAATCACCAAAAACAGATAAGGTAATAGGATTAACCTTACGATGTGCATGGATCTTAATCAAACATTGTAAATCAAGGACTAGAAGGCCACTGATAAAATCAAGGCAGATGTGTTAAATGGACCTATTATTTTTGAATGAGATGATGAAATTATGACTTCTTTCTTCCTCATACTTTTTGTCTTCAAAACATAGGATCTTTCTCTAGCAACAACACACACGACCAAAACTAGTTTTCCTTTGTTTCAAAATCAGAGCATGTTGTAAAGCTGAATGTTTTTGAGGAATTATCAGAAAAAAAAATTGTGAACTGCCACTTGTTGAAGTATTTTTTGTCATTATGTAAACATTTTTTCTCTACATAATAAACAAATATCAAATTATAAAAGATTTAAAAATGAGATCACTTGCATGTATGAAATCATAACTTTTAAAATGTGAGGGTCTAAGCTTCAGGCAGTTGTTTTAAACCATGACATTACAAAGAGACCGTGGGGAAAATACTTTGGTTCTGTGTGTTAATATTTAGCATAGCGATCTTTCACAGAGACCAATTAAACATATTCTAACTTCAACTCAGATGGGAAATATCTCTATGGGATTTCTTTCTTCCTTTTATATTTGTTTCAGAGCTTGATTTTCATATTCGTGAGTTTGGTCACTTTGCTCTGAAGCCATTTTTTTTATAGCTATATGGCGATAACTGCTTTACTCTGGCATACGGAATGCTCATAGTGCCTTCAGCAGGAAGTTGTCTCACACTTTTATAAAAATATTATTTTTTTGAACACTCAGACTGTGCATAATGATTTGGAATTTGATCCCCAGCTGGTTAGATGATAATTAAGAAAGGGATGGTGACATCATAGAAGAAGTAACACTATCCTTTCATACCAGCAGGTTTTTTTGGACTTAAGGTAGATTTGGGTTCTTTCAATAACAAAATTGGTAACACTTTATTTGACAGGTTGTGAATGAGACTGTCATGACACCGTCATAAACATCACATAAGCCCCGTCATGAACATGAGCGAGTCTTCATGAATGTTTATGACTGTTGTCATAAAGTGTCATGTGGTAAATCATGACACTTTTAATACAAAGTTGACATTATTCAAAATGTCTGTCATGACAACTTGACATTTACCAAGAAATCATGATCTGACATAAATTAGTTCTAAAAGTATTACTGATGAAACTTTAGCTTTAATAACGTAAAGCTACATAATTTTTAAAGTTTACTTTAACCTTCATGAAATGTGTTGATGTTTTGAGTTTCTGCTCTTGTTAGATGGACAAGATTAGCTTCTCAAACTAAAGACGTTCAGAAAGGGAGAATACTGACTGCGGCTGGGTTTTGGACGGCAGTTTCTTTACAAGTTATTTTCTTTTCATGTGTCGGTATCGGCACCTGTTTTACTTTTCAATGATTTATCACAGCTATGTCTCCCCACATATCCAACAGGAATATTTTTAGCAGACTATCTAGCACCCAGAAGCTGATGCAATAAGATGGAAAGATTCTCCTAAACTGGATACATAATAAAATAAAATAATTTTAAAATATTCTTGCAACTTTAATTCTCATAGTAAAAGACAATAATTACAACTAATTTCTGCAAGGCTTTGATCAGGATTTAAAAACAAGACTTCATTTCACAATCATCAGTAGCAAGCACAGATATGCAAAACTGAAGTGAGTTTCCCCTGAAGAAAGTATTTTTTTTTTCCTTTTGGCCGGGCCTGGGTGAATGTTAACCTGTTAGGTTTAACTGAGAACAGCTGTCTTTGAGCCCCGAAGAGCTCGACATTCCCCCATCAGAAGAATAAGGCCCCAGTCCTGTTAGCCACATGCCACATGTATTTGATTTTCAACATCTGCTGGCTTCATAGTTCTGTGTTTACCATTCCCACTGCACATTCTTCACAAATTCAGTAGCTTCCTTTGCCTACATTTGTAAATGTTGTTGATTGTGGAAACCGTCCATGTTTACTTTGAATCCCAAGCCAGCTCTAATTACCTGCAGCTGCTCACTGCTTTAGTCCACTACATCCTTCAAACCCAAGGTAAGTATTTTCTCTCTCAATTATGTATTTATATAAACCTGAATGTGGAGTGTTAAAACAAGCATTTGAAACATGGAACAGAAATCTATTGATAGTACTTTAATTGCATGTTTTAAATTTTTGTGTGTGTGTGCTAAATTCCAAATAAACTTGATAAAATAAACCCTTGTCACAGCTACCATTCTTTTTCTGTCATTACTGTTCCTTATGTAAAAATATCTACATTTCACTGCAATTGTTGGTCTGCAGAAACAGTTATTTATCTTTCCTCAGATGTCTTTGATATCTGCTGGCATAGAAGGAACAGAGATGGGAGGAAGAGAAGGAAGTGAAATATTCAAGCAGCAGTCATCTGCTCTTTGCCTCAGGACTTAGTCTGCTCTCACCTACACTTTTTGGCGGCAACGTAACAACAAATTTTACACCGTCTGGGACACAAATTGGCATTCTGGACTCTGGTTATTCCTCAAGTATAATCTAATTATAAAACACTGCCAGTGGGTTAGAAATCAGAGCATTAAAAAGTTTGACAGGCAGACATAAAAGTGAAATTTCATAACAGAGAGAGAGCAAGAGTAAAACTTCAGAGCATTTGCTGGGAGAGGTTTGGGATAACTGAATTACTCCAGCTTACATGCTCTGTGGTGACTTATATGTACAATATTAGGTGCTGTAATAAGATTTACTATATTTAAGGCTTTGAAGTCCATCCAAAGATTTTGGGACAGGCATTAGATGTCATGCTACAGAGGGTTGGATGAGCTGGTAGCATAGAGTGCATAAATGCGCTTTAATTTTTTCAGGATATATCGACTGCTTTCTGGTGACAATGTTTTAAAATTTTTTGGTAAAAAGACATTTGGGTCTTCATACTATACATCAGATTAAAACCAAAAGCTAGTTTTACAGTCTAACATTAGTATGCAGAGCAGAGCAGGATTAAAAACAGGAGTAAAACCCGCATCTACTGAAATAAATTAGATTGTTAATTATTGTACTTTGGGCCTAGCAGTGAATTCACTTGAGTAAAGTCACTTTCCATAGAAAACATTTATTAAAAAGACCTGTTAGAGACTTTTGTATTTGCAGATGTAAAAAAAGAAAAAAAAAAAAGTTAAATTAAATAGGTAGTCAAGAGCAGAGAAGAGATTAAAGCTGAACACACAAAATTTAGGTGTTTCATCACCTTATTTGCATAATTTGATGTGTGCATGTTGCTGAAATATTGTGCCATAAGAAGGAATAAGAAAAAGGTATAGCCAAGAGTAAAAATATAACAATTTCACCAAGGATAAAGCTTTTTTTATTATTATTTTTCTTTTGCTGAATCTGGACTTCAGACCTTTAATTTTAACTTACAGCAGACATTTTTGGTTACTTATTTTTGTTGTTTTTACATTTAATGATAAAGTTTTCTTGAGTTCAGAAGATGACAACATCAGCAACCCAGCCTGCAGCACTTAGTGTTGCAGTTTAGACTCAGCGGGAGAAAAGGTAAGCTTTGCTGGTAAGATTGCAGCTGGGAGGGCTGGTAGTGAAAGGACTGGCAGGCCTGTGAATGCTTTGGGATGAGGAAAGGCCCAGTGGAAGTACTCCCTGCAGGTTGGAGTCTCTTACAATCTTCAACAACTCCTTATAGACAAATTACAGTGACAATTGTGTGCAAATCGCAAGACCATCGCTGGCTGACACTAGAGTGCTATAAACTACAGCAATCACCTAGAAAATGCAGAAACTATTAGATTATAGTATCATGACATCCATGTGTGACAGACAGCTGTGCAAAAATAATGAGCACAAAACTCAAGAGAAAAACTAAAAGCATTTACTGAGGTCACTAAAACACCAAGGCAGTAAATCTACCTAATCAGACAGCATGATACCGAAGCTGTCGTCATAAAAAAGTAAATACACCATACACTTTTGGAAGACAAACGTTAACTCTTGGATTTTCTGCTGACACACGTGTAGCTTGCAAAATAACACTATAAATACATTTCTAGTCCACTGATATAGTTTGCTTTTGTTCATGACTAAAAGATAAACACTTATTTTAGAAGATTGTTGCTGACCTATTTATAAGGAGAGAAAAACATAAAAACATTTCCTGTTAAGAGAAAGAGAAGTAACATAATATGAAAGAAACAGAAAGGTGATGAAGTGGCAGACTTGTAGCTTAATTGTAGCCTGTACCGTGAATAATGACGTCAGCTTTCTGCGTCATTTTAGAATTGTAGTTTGTCTGTAGTTGAAGCAATGAGAGCGGAAGAGCCTCGTTTGGATCAGCATTTCTCTGTTCGCAGTGGACGGTGGTTGTTTGCAGCTTCCGGTAACCTTCATAGCATCAAACTAGCACGTTGCGTACCGGTATGTCATGACAACTCAATACCACGTCTTTATCGCTCTGTATCAGCGCAGCTACGGGCAGACTCGTCGCCATAGCAAGAACGCCACAAAAAAAAAAAACACTCAAATATTTCCCACACAAAGAGCAGAACATGCAGTCTGATGCAGTAGTATGGTTTTAGGCTGAATGGTTTTGTGATTATTAATAAATGATTGCTGTGGTAAAAGGAGAAAATACAAATATATCGCTGCACTTGACTTTACTGTATGGCTAGCTCCATGGCTAGCTCGCTGTTACTGTCTCTTGCTCTGCAGCTGTGGAGTCACAATGTCTGGGATCATGAGCGCCCCCTGCCATGATGCAAGAGAACTGCCCGTCCAGCTCGAATCGGTTCTTTCTGAACCCCCTTCAGTATAGAGGAGTATTTAAATAGGAAATTGCGAAAATTAAGCGATTTTGAAGAAACAAAATAATCAAAATTAGTTAAGCTAAATGAAAAATAAATGCTTCATAGCACAAACCACAAATATAGCAATATAAATTATTTTATTATTGTATATTATTTTTCCATGGCATGATGACACTTGCCTCCCCTGACCGCACATCACTGGTCATAACCAAATGTTAGCGATTGGGTAAAATTTAAAACTTCAACTTGATGCCTCCAGCAAGCAATCGTTTCTCTATAGCCGAGGATCCAGACGAAATAGCGTAGAACAAGGCTGGGTTTCACCAAAATAGCTTAATTGTGTTACTGATATGATTTTCAATATCAGCTTGTAATTCCAGATATTTTGTTATAGTTTTATTTGTGTAGTAATCTGTAATTCTGTGAAAAGTTTTACCTGAGATCAAGTATTTCAGTAGGCCTATATAAAAAAAAAACTTGCTTATTAAAATTGACTGAAATCTGTCTTCTTGAAGTCATGACTGCAGACTGTCTTGTCTGTGAATTTAGTTTATGTTCTCAGTACTTACGACTCACCAAAGCGACCAAAACTCAACCAAATATAATCATTTCTGTTTTCTTTGCCACAGCAGCAACAATGAGCCCATTCAATCCACAGAACACAGTGACTGAATATAACTGGGGGAAAAAAATGAATGAAAATGTGTCTCCGTTTACCCTGAATCGATATCTTGCAGACAATGCATCCCTTTCTTCTTTTCATAATTTTACATGGTAAATTTCCTGAAACACTAATGAGAAAGAATGGAAGAAAAGCGAAGCATGAAATAGCTTGTGGGTTTTGTCTCCTTCCTATTCTCCTCGCTCCGTGCTAGAAGATGGTATTTTTATTATTAATTTTATTTAATTATACCACGAAGCTCTATTTTTTTTTTTCTTTTAGACTCTCCCTGTGCCGTACTCCTGCTGCGTGAGTTTGTAATTTAATAAAGCTTCGTTTAAAAGAGAAGTTGATTAAAAAATTAAGCTCTGGTGATCACCACACCTTCAGCCCTCCCCAATTTAGGGAAAAGACCTGATATTTCCCATTATTAAAATGTCGGGCAGAAATTATCACCGCAGGACAAGTTAATGCTTTCAATACAATCATGTGACAATGACAGCAAAGCCCACTGAAGAGAGAGTGTCCCACTAAAACATTCAAAAAGATAGGAGATTAAACCATTTCCCTGAAGGTCAACCAGTTTTTTTCACCCACTCCCATCATGCCTGTCAACCAAGAGTTACTTTTATACGCAATTCCTTCTGCTTTTTCTGACAGCAGGTGACTGCCAAAAGTTGTCTTACATAGCTGTACAGGAGATTTTTTATACTTCTGCATTCTCATAGTGAATGATGACACAGTTTGCAATACTGGATGGAGATGAAGGGAAAAAGTCCAAGCAGCATACTGTCCTTTCCTTGGTTTCTCTGCAGAAAATTGCACCAACCGCCTTATAACTTCTATTTGGACAAACTCTTTGAAATACAATCTCCTTAAGTTTTCCCATCTGTTCACCACACTGTACACATGCACATAAATTTGTGCACAAAATGTGCAAGCTGTCAATTTTTATTTAAGGAGAAAATATATAAAAATAAATTTAATCTCCACACTGAAGCTTAAAGAGAAATACATTCTCGCTGCTGGAGAAACCTAATCCACACAATTAAAGTTGGAAAATTATACCCTGGATCTAATGGCAGTTTTGAAGCATAAGTTATTGATTTGGAAATGAAAACCTGTACTCTTCAAGGTTAAATCCAGTCCACCCTCATTATTACTCTGTCCTTGAGAGGCCCGCACCAGGGCTGCGGCAAAGAATCGAGAGGACTGCTTTAATGAAGGTGAATTTAATGGGATTTAATGTTGCTGGGGGCAATGGAGCAGCTGAGATATGGTTTTAACAAAGAGCAAGGGACCACAAGTAAAGGCAGGGGAGCAGCCATTTTCCCTTTCTTTTTATTTATTTCACATTTGGCTGAGCAGAGTAAAAGCACCACATTCTCTCCTCCAAGAGTCACTGCTTTCATTCCTGCAATCATCACAACCAAGGCCTCAAGCTCACAATCATAGCATTTACACTTACTGCAATAGAAACACCCAACTTAATTGGTAGCTTCATGGTGTTCAGGTCAGTGGCAAAAAAAAAAATATGACCTTTAAAAAATAAATGAGGGTCAAATATTGGGCCATCAGAACTGAAATGTGTGTTTTATCTTTGCAGAAGTAAAAGAGAAATGTTACAGACTGTGTACAGAGTACTGTCATTCAAGATAAATATCATGATGTACTCTACACTCTGCTTCATACTTAAAAAGATCCTAAAGAAATCTGGCATGAGAGGAGACTCAGTACTGCAGCAAGGCCTGCCTTCAACAGATTTGGACTTTCTGTACTTCAACAGTTTTTGTACAGTCCACTTTAAAATGTCCTAGAACCATTGATCCAGTCAAAACAGCTCTTATGCCAGCATCTGGTGGCCTGGAATGTAAAAAGTATGAGAAGCATATTTTTAGGGCAGCAGCTGTTAATTATTTTTGCCTACTCCATCAAATAATCATTCACTTAGCAGAAAAATGAAACATACAAATGCTACTCCAACCACACTTTTTTTGAAAAGCTTTTCTTGTCCCTGTCCCCCTGTCAAAAATGTGAATCCTCAACATTCAGTCAACTTGGTAATTTATTTTTTATATATCAGAAACAATTTCCAAAATATTTCTGTTAACACTCATCTCAACCTTTTAAGAGATGAGCTGTCAGGACCTCTGCAGCACCACAATAAACGCTTTTCTCTGTTTCCACACTATGCTGCAGTTTAGATCAGTGTAAAGAAAGAATAACCTTAAACTTTAATTTTCAAGCACATGTTTTGTTGATAGCCTAAAACTTTTGAATATGTTCTTAATAAAGCATTTCTTCAGAACTAAATCAAATAGGTGAGTGCCTCAGATAGTTTAGACTGAAAATGTGAAAATCCACCGTCTCATAAAACTAGACCAAATTGTCTGTAATTATTATTGTAAAGACCATTTAATCTGTGACACAAATTATTATAAGTCGTATTTTGACCCTGTCTGTACTTGAGATTCAGCATCATTTTTCAGAAAAACGCCTGCACCACTGAGTCCAAAACTGAAGCCTGATTGTGTCAGCAGGTAATGACTTTTCAAGAATCCCCAAAGTTGTTGTTGCCGAGTTTACTGTAGCGTATCAAAACTGGTCTGTTTCTTAGGTTTTCTCCGTATCATGTTCCATCTCCTTCAATTACACTCAACGTACACAGAAGCATGCAGGGTGACACATGGGTCCTAGAAGAAACCTGATCGCTGAACAATATGAAGTTATGCAAAGAATAAATCATAAAGGCAAGTGATTTTCGATCACATATTCTAAAATTAATCAAATGAGTCATAAGAAGTGCTGACGTTTTAGCACTTCTTATGATCTTGCTAAGCTGATACGATCAAGTTGTTTGTCTGAAAGCCAGATCAAAACTGTGAAAATTTCTTAAAAAGAAGAGACTGGCAAACTTTTTTATCTACTTTTATAAATACTAATTAACTAATAAACACCATTAATCAGTAATGGTGTTTGGTTTTTCATTAGTTAAGACAATTAAAAGCTTGAGAAAATTACCAATTTTAAAAATGGCCCTATCATGGTATTTTATTGAGATTATATCAAAATGTTTAGCTTGTGGACATTTTGGTGACTTTGAGAAGTCAAACATGATGTGTTAGTAAAGCAACAGAACCCTCTTCTATTTGGCGTCGTCAACTTTTGATTGATGACGCTCAATCAGTTCAGACATCTTCTGCACAGGAACAGAGTTCACACTTAGACCTAACCTTAGAATTGGCCAACTGGGTCAGGAAGAACTAATTGAACTTCCAAGACATTGCTGCGTCAGATGTCCTCTTATCTGACGCTGCATTAAACTAGGCTGTATTTATGTAAACCTGCATGAATCAAGTTTCTTTGGAGGTATGCAGAAACTGTTTTGGGGCTTTTCTTTTCAAAAGTGTGGCTAACAGAACCACTGTTTGAGTTCTAAAGTCAGGAAAGATGGAGGTGAAAACGACATGGGAAAAAATGCAAGTCAGTTCTGCGAAAGTTACCCATGTGAGCAACAAATGACAGCTCTCAGCAGGTGAAAGTCCAAAGAAAAACATGGATAAATTACACAAAATTAATGTATTGTGGTATAATTAATGAACCAAAGGGGAAACTTAAATACGGAAGAAAAACTTAAACCAATAAGCAAATCCCATTTTCTCTCCATGATTCTAAGATCATGGAGATTTGCAGGTACCCCTGTAAACCTGCTCCACCCCTTTTCCACTACCTTGTTCAGCCAAAGAACTGGAGCAGCTGGCAGTGCGGTAGCTCAGAAAACAAGTTTAAATCAAGCCAAACACCCGTAAGAGTGCAAACTAAAATATGTGCACTTACTTTAGGATACACTATCATATGATTTTGTAAATTAATTTTTTTTTACCAAAAATAGTCTTATTACTTGTAAATCAAATCCAACATTTAAAGAAACCAAAATAAAGATAATGAAATAAAAAGTTGTCTATTGTAGCTGCATAATAATTAATAGATATTACCCGATTTGTATGGATGTAACTGCAGCTGTCACAGCAATCCAGGAATCTCTCCTGATTGACTATAATTGCTTCCAAATCTCAGTTTCAATTCCCCTCTTCAGTTAAGATAAATTTAGGAATTTTTAGGTCTTCTGGGGGACTGATAAACACCTACAATATTTTTATATTACATGAATAATGTACATGTGTACATTTGCTGGGTAAGTCCATGTAATAATGACCTCAATATTGTGTGTGGCGCCGTCTTGACACGGTTGAGAATAAGTCACTTGGCTCTGTTGTTAACTGTGTGGAGATCTCATCAGCACAGAACCCCATTTGTCTCACGTAGTTTGATCTTTCAGCTTTTTTAAAGTTAATGGAAACAAGATGTGCTTTCTGTTTCTAACATTTAAAGTTCTGCTTCTTCTATAACGCCAGAAACTTGACAGGTTTAAACTTGTTTTGAAATTTTGTCTTTCTTCATTTTCCTCTTCCTCTTGGGGCACAAAAAACGCCTGTAAGGATGAATCTGGAAAGGAAGCGCCATGATTTCATGCATGAAGTTTTTCTTTTTTTTCTTTTTTTTTGTATTATGTAGTGTCTCTTAGAAACCCACAGCAGTTTCATAGATAAATGTTGCTCTGCCTCCATCTTTATTTCTTGTCAAGAAAAGGATGCTTAATTCCTTTTAAAAAAAAGCACTTTTTTTTCTGTCTCTGAGGAAGAAATGAATTTACCTGAGGAAAAGGTTAGGATCCCATGCCCCCTAATAGATATGTTTCATCTTTTGACTGGAATATCTTTAGTCAGACGCTTCATGCAGCCATCTACGAGTCTCTGACATCGTTCTGAAATACGTTTTTTCCCCTCTCCTCACTATCAGCTCTGGCGGTTTCTTACATGTACAGCTGGTTTCAAGCCACCCTGAAGCATCTCATTGAGATTAAGATCTAGGCTTTGACTTGACCCTATGATATTCTATTTTTCAGTTCTCAGCCAGTCCTTGGTGAATTTACTGGTATGTTTTGGATCTTTGTCAAGTTGCAGGATCCAGTTCAGTTACGGCTCAATTTCGTTTTCTCACATTTTCCTTAAGCAACCAATGATACAGAGTAGAATTTGTGTTGGATTTTATGATAGTGAGCTGTATTGTTTAAAATTAAAATAAAATTTATATTATTGTATTATGAAAGGCAGAAGTAGACAATTATTGGCTTAACGGGTATTGTTAAACATGTCTTGAGAATTTGGAAATCTTTGGTTTTGATTTTATTTTTCGCGTAAAGACAACCTTAGATTGAGACAAACAGCATTATAAAGATTGATGAGACTTAGACTGAAAATCACATATTTGCATATGACAGTTTTTTCATAAGAGTTTGGATTTCTATGTATTTGTGAGATTCTAGCTATTCTCCCAAAAAGCATTGCTGCAACTTTTTGTCAATTTTTTTGTCAGAACCAGCTACTGGTATCTTCCCCAAATTGGCCGTTCTCCATGAACTGCCCCTGCCTCAATCGGGTAACAGCGGCCCTTTTTCCCTTTTCTTTTCAAAACTACTAAGAAGAAACATTGACATGTGATAGACAGGAAAGCTAACCCCAAGTAGCTCAATAAAGACTCATGACACACAGTGAAGGACAATAAACCAAGGTTATTAGTGTTTGTTTACGACACAAAATTAGTTTCCTACCCAGATGAAGAAATCACAGTGCAAGGTGGATATCCACTGCAGTCATGATCAAGATGAGGCCCTATGAAAAGTGTACTTTTGTTTACTTGTCGTTTGAGCCTCAAGAAACTCATGGCATTTTTCATTAGTATGAAAAAAAAGAATACAGAACCACGTACGACTCTAATCACCACTGGCTTTGGGGTAGGTATATGTTTAAAATAGATATACTGTTATTTTCTGAGAAATCTTGTAACTTCCAAGAAGAAACTCTTTCCAGATTTTCTTCCTTTTCAGAAAAATGTCTTTTTAATTTATAAGTGGACTTTGGGAACCTTGTCAGTGCGAGTTAAGTTTTTGGAAATTGCTAAAAAGCTGTGATAGCTGTAAAACAAGCCCCGCTGTTCACACATCTGCATTTTCCATTTAATCTTTGACTTTCATTGGTGCAGTCTGTAATCCCTCAAATGTGACTAATGGGAAACATTAAGCACAGGTTTGGGAACAAGTGGATTTAATTATAAGACTGGCTCACAAAAGAGCATGGAAAAAGAACGTTTTTTAAATCATTCTTCACAGTGCTCTGTTTTCCTTTTGCTGGCAGCTGAGCACAGATCCACACATTAAAAATGCATCAAGCAGGAAAAAATTATCTAGATTTCTCCACGGTGTACCCATCCAACAGTCGTAACTGAGCATTTAAAGTCAGAAACAACAATAAGGTCGTAAACTAAAACCTAAAGCATTTTTCCACATTCATATTTTCATAAGGAGTTAAAAATCGTTTATTCCAGCAGTCAACTCAACCTACATCTTAACTTACCTAATTAACAGAGTCAGCCAAAGGGAAACGCATAGTTAGGGGCCATAAATTATCAGGGCCTCCAAAAACCTAAAGCTCTACTTAGGTCTAGATTTGTTCATAGAGAGTGAGCATTCGTAATACATTTGCCAAAGACTGAAACTGATTAAAATTAAAATGTTTAAAATTTAAAATGCCTCATAGATGTGTGTTGTACATGTGGAAAGAACTTGTTTTTAGGTCAGCTAGGTAATATATTGAATTTCATCCGTTTTTATTTATTTATTGTAATAGTGATGAAAGAAAACTGGAAGTTGTGAATCCAACTATAAATCTATATAAATTTGTATCCCCAAAAGAAACTTGTGTGGGCACCAAAATTGGTTTTACGTCTTGGGCACCCATCCTTGTAAATCGAACCCTACTGGTGATTTAAGATGACCTCTGCAGCGAAAATCAAGGAAACCATTGTGCAGAAACTCCATACAAAAAAACATTGACCAGTTATATTCCCCTTACAGTTATGACAGTTTGTAAAATCGATTCTTTCAACCCATAACCACTGGAATATCGACCAACACATTGATATGTATTGGTGATGCCACTTGATGAAATGTAATGTTTGTTGCTTCCTAATGGGTAAGTATATGATGTTTTTATGATGTAAAGCACTTTGAACGTCCTTGTTGTTGAAATATACTATACAATTAAACTTCATTGATTGATCCAGCAAGGCAGCTTACAGTAGGATGGTCTTGAATTCAAGGTAATCTACTGATTTAACTCCGACTTCTACTTTTTCCAACAAGGTAAAAATAGACTAGTTTTATGTTTATTGCCAATGATTTGGTGAAGCGTAGTTACAAAGAGCAGCTGGACATAAAATGAAAATGTGCTTTAAATATAATCAAAAGAGGTGACATCTGTGAGCTAGATCAAGTTGTCAGCTCAAGATGTGCTGGTGCTTCACATGTGATTTACCTGCTCCTCTTTCCAGCTTCTGCTTCATGTTTTTCCAGCCCCTCCATCACTTCAGCATGTCCCTTGGGCTCTGAGGTCAGAGACCCTCTCCTTAATTCCTTACATGCGGAAGAAATGTTCAAAAGGGGTTGAGATGTGTTCACCATGAGCATTATGACCACAGTGGGATGAGATTGGAGCACGAACACCAAAATGTACGCGATTTACCCGACTGGTCTACTGTTACCACTGCCCAAATGCTAAGCATTGGCATAACTGGAGCCAGTACAGCTAAGTCCAGAACTGTTGCAAATATTTACAGAATATTCACATTCCTGTTAAAAGTGGATCCTAATGGCAGCAATCTCACCCATTTGGCAAAAAACAGGAACGTTTTGGGAAATAAGTGCACAAAAACTGTCTGAACCCAATTTCATTTCATAGAGGTCCTTACTTAGATGTACGACTGAATCAAGGAGCAGTTAGCTTACTCTTTGTATTGCATCACTACCCAAGATTTAAAAGCATGAGGAAGCATTTAGTTTGAGGCAAGTTTTTAGTGGTCACTGAAGACCCACTCAAAGCTGGTCATTGGTGATTAGGCAATGAAAGATGTTTAATTAATGTGAAAGATACTCCCAAATCTGGAGAAAAAAGTGTTTCAGCAAAACACATTGATTAATTACATCTAGTAATTATTAGAATTAATTAAAATTAATTACACGCCGATGTCTATCCTCATCACTTCATTCAATTAAAACATGAATGAATTATGTGTCTACCTTATCACAATTAAAGAGGACAGGGAAATAGTGAACTTCCTTTCTCCCTTTTGGTCACCATAAGTGAATAGACTGCAGGTTTGATAAAAATATGTTGTGGAAACTTTAGCAGAGCGGAAACTTTAGCAGAGCGGATGCTGAAAGGAAACGAGATTTTTGAAGTTAGTGAAGTAAACTCCTCCACTTTGCAAACCACAAACCAAAGTGAAAATGTTCGACAATCCTGAAGTATTATGCTCCTAAAGAGACAAGAGATTGTGTCCTGTGGGATTTCCTAAACAGGTCATCCCTGAGATTCAGGACAGTCTGAGGTGTCTGACGGCATTGGATGGAAACAAAATGTTCCAGAGGGAAGAATGGAGGATCGGTCAACGCTATCAATACTTTCATTCTCCAGGAACTACCTGCATAGACTCATGACATGAGCCTGCAGTGCATTATCATGCACCAGGACGGATCTGGGACTCAAACCCACTAAATTTCTGTCTTGCTTACCATTTCATTGTTGTCCCTATAGTGCAGTTGTTGGTAATTTCATTAGTGCCATAACAGCCGACACTGACCAACCACAACTTCTGCTCCTGTCTAACTGACCGGATCAAAATCCCAGATGTTTATCTGACCTATTGCTATTCAGACTAAAAAATGATCGCATTCAGTGAATGCACCATCCAGCTTGACTGAAAAGTCCAAAATGTAGCTTGTAGTTCCCAGGAATCACCTCTGCAGACATTTGATATACAGCATCTTACATTTTGCACGCAAGCTCCACATATATCTCCAGCCAGAGACAGTTTAATGTGTTCAAGTAAGACTTTATGCAACTAGAATTGCAGATGTTTAAAATGAAAAACAAATGCATGAACCATATATTTTGTAAGTAATCCTAATCATTCAGAATGAGCAGAGAGAAAAATATGATATTTTTGGGTATGCTGGCGCACATACTTAATGTAAAGCTAAAGAGGAGCCTATCAGGTTCTTGTTCATTTAGGCTTCAAAAGATTTGGGCTTTTCCAGATTCTCACATTTTTTCAATCTAATTTTAAGTGTCAATAAATCCTACACTTTCATCATCAAATGACCATGCAAAGGTCAAACTCTCTTGATGTCAACATGATTCAAAAAGGAAAGTAGCAACTTGATGCTCCGAACGAAACAAATGAATGTCAAACCCTCCACAAAGACTTTAAACTCCTCATCAGTTGTGTTCAACATGTTTGTTTTGGTTTCTTTTGTTTCTATTGATTATAATTAACTCTTATTATTGTTATTGTTATTGTCAAATAAGTTGTTGGTTATTGCTATATGACTTTTATATTTTTGATTTCTGTTCTTTGTACATTTGGTGCCATTTCCCTTAGATCAGAGTTCATTCTTTTTCTATTGGTTAGAAGTGTCTTTGTGTCAAGTTCAGTTTTCTTTTTTGTTAATTAATCACCTTCATCCAATTTGTCTTTTCCCTTAATCAGGACTTTAAGGGAAATTTGTAGATGTGTTGGTCACCTTACAGCTCAGAGTCATTGTTTCAATTTTAGCCAAAACTTTATTTGCATAAACATGTGGGCTTCTCTTTTTCTTTATTCTTCTTTTTTTTTCTTTGTTGTTTCCTTATTAGTTTCCTCTTACAGTCCAAGGACTTGTGTGTGCAAGTGTGAGTAATTGGGTATTTTGGCTCTTTGCAAGAAATCAATGATGCCTTCTGCATTTTGGATCCTTTCTTACATCAATTTGCCATCTATTGCAACATTTTCATAACGTTACCCTGTTCTGTTTCCTCATTAATGCATGTTTTTTTTCCCGTCTTCTGTCCAACTTTGATGTTCTATCTTTTTGGCTGAGAGCCTTGAACTCTTAGCAACGATGTAAAATCCAAGTCAGGGAGTAACAAAGACGAAATTTATGTCGGCCATTTACGGCTTGCATGGGTCAATCTGGAAAAGACATAGGCACTTTCAAATTTTTATTTCCAGGTTAAATTAGTTACATGTATAACAATGTAATAAGAGCTTAAGAAGGAAAACACTTTTGAATGCTTTTGAATGTATTTTGGATTTGTTGAAATTAACATGAAGAGGACCTGGACAGGTTGCCCCAAGAACTTTGACATTATACAGCCTGTATGCAAAATTTTGGTTGGACATTTGATCACAGTTTGTTTGCATAATTGACCAAATTGTGAATCTTCTGGTAAGAAATCAACATTAGTTATTGTAAATATGCTTTCCAGAAGGACAGAGGTCACAAGCTCGAAATATCTTTTCTAAAAGATATTTTATTTGTTAGTTTCATTTTATATAAAAATGTTGGGAAGTTAGAATAAAATTCGGGAATTGTCTTCATTTATCAGCTCTATAGACCCAGTGGATTTTCATAAAAGCTGATGAGAATTTTTGTCCTATTTTACTGTGAAGTTCTACTTCTAATGACTTTTGGTTTCTGTACATGTTAGACAATTTTAATCTATCAACTTTTATCTGCAATTTCTTAGTTGATTATTTAATTTTGATTAAGTTTGTGCATCATGTAATCTGCTTCTTTGGAAATAAACTAATTTCCTTTTTCTCTGTTTTACTTTCTTTTGGAAATGATGAGCACACTGTTGATGTTAAATTGTTTTATAATCGCTCAGAGAAGCTTCAAGTTGAGATAGGAAACTTGGGGAGACATAAAACACTACTTCCTGTCTGGAGAAACATGTAGATCAAATCAAAAGGAGTCAAATCTCAATCAACTATGGGTATAAATAATTGTACCTCAGCTGTGTGTAGAGATAATAAACCCTAAATTCTTCAGATCAGATCAGAAAATAGTTGTAAAACAGAGACAAATTTGGATGCATAAAGTGTACTCTGTCTCCCCCTAGCGGACAAATTTAGACTTATTTTTTGCTTTTTGGGGAAATTAATTTGGAAAATTAGAAACTGGATGAAACAGAGCTCTTTTTGTTTTAAGTGAGGAGTGTTGAACTGAGTAAAAACAACTCAGACATTCAATCTGTAGGAGCTGAAAATATCTGTGTTTTGAACTCAGACTCCAGATATCACAATATAACGTACATTTTTAGTCTGGTGTGTTTTGGATGCTAAAAGCTAGACAATCAGTATTCATGGGTCACTTTATTTCTTCGTTGATAGAACCTCACAGACCAGAGGCTCCCATTTTGCGGCGCTCTTATGACTTGGTGGTTTTTACGATCTATCAATCACCTAAATAAAGCTCGACTGCCTGAGCCACTGCCAGGGGAGGTCTGACCTGCAGCCTAGCATGACATTGAAGGAAAGAGTACCACTCACCCAGGAAATCCTATTATACTAAAGTATGATGGATTTCATCACTTGGGAAGCTCATATGTGGAGTGACATATAATTTGTTATAATTTGTGAGGAAAAAAATCAAAATAAAAAAAAAAATAAAAGAGAGATCAGTCTGTTAAACTTTCTTGTTTTCATTTGCTTTTCACTAAATAAATGATATTTCTATTGATGCAATATTTTGGGTTTTGCCGAGCTTTTCATTTTTAAATGAATCTTAAAATTTGTTAATTCTTTGCTGAAGCTTAATGAAAATTATTTGACTGTTTTCATGCAATTAAAAAATTGTTTTTTATATAGCCAGTTTTTAAATGCCATAAAGATCCCTTCCATCACAGCAGCAAAAATAACTACAACTGCATTATATACACCTGTCTTAGCCTGCAATCTAAAGTATTTTTGTAGTTGTAATCATGCATCTCAAATTTGAGAAAAAAAGACGAGTTGCTTGAATCACAGCAGCCAGAGACTCCTGTGTTGATCAATTCGAGCAAAGATGTGCTTATGAGTCAAGATTAACAAAAGCTTTTCACTATCATGGAGCTAAAATACCTTTATCAGTGGAAGAAAAAGAGAAAGCTATCCACTTTAAACAAATGTCACGTGCACCCCCTGCAAGGAGGCATTTTGTCATTCCTCAGAGATAAAACAAAAAGGTTAATCAGACATCACAAACGCTCTTCTCAACAGTCTAATGCCATATTTGTTTGTTTGTGTAAAAAAAGCTCCTGAGTGTGATATTGATTGCTCAAGCGAAGAGAATCCCAGTAAGATTTTCAGCTAAAATTCAATAAAAGAAAACATCCCAGTAGGCAACCTTTGGATGCTTGTTTGACTCTATTGATGTTTTAAAATCCTACAGCAAAAAACAACAACAACAACAAAAAAGACCAAGAGTCGTCGAGTTGCCTCATACCACCGACGGCTCTTTGTCACATATGTTTATCTGCTCCTTGTCCTCATGGCAACTCTTATCTGTCTTCGAACTTTCCCCTTTATTTGTGCAACTGATGAGAAAAAAAGTAAACAGACCAAATTTCAGCACTAAGGTCAATGAAAGCAGGACATCGCAGAGGAAGCTTCTCAGTTCGGCAAAAGAACATTTGGAGTCGCACTATAGGTCGAGATGCTCCCTCAGAAGATTAAAAAAATAAAGGAAAGAGCCTGATTTGATGATTAAGACCTGTGAGAAAGAGGCACTGAACTGAGTGAATAACCTCTCTGACGCTGGTCGAGTTTTGCAGATCAGGCTTGAAACCCATCAAACCATCTGAACCATGAAGCTTCCTGGGACAGTCATTCTTGCAGCAGCCACTGAAGACTTTAACAGTTCCCTGCTGATTCCATTACCAGGAAATGCAACAGGTATGATCATTTATCTAGACAAACGTGTAAACTTCCTGAGTTTTCTCAGTTGGAGTTTCTACACAGAACCATGTTTACTATCAATATTCTTCGCTGCAATACACAATCGAGCCTAGAGCATTTCTACTCACAGGTAAAATCTAGTTTGTGCTTTTGCTTGAAATATGCAGAACACTTACAAATCAGTTGGTGACAAAATATTCAAACTTTTTTTTTTCAAATTTTCCTCACCTTGCAGCCACAAGCGATGCATTTTGTTAGAAATTTGTATTACAGACCAACGCAATGTAATTTATGATTACAAATTTGAGGTGAAAAGAATACATTGTTCAAAACAAATTGTTGCAGGTGTATTCAGACTAAAGCCTCCTCAGTCAAAACTTTGTAGAGCCTCACTTTGCAAGTACAGATGAAACTGTCTATTGGAAGGACTGCACCACCTTTGCACAACTAGAAAATGCACATTTTGCCAATACACCTTTGCAAAATAGATGACCGAGAAGTTAATTTTCAAATCTTTCCAGATATTCTCCTTTGAATTTGTGTCTGTTCATTGGGGTTTTTGAACACACTAATATGATTCAGTCTATCCCACTGTAGCGTCGGCTGTATGTTTAAAGCTTTTATCACAAATTTAACAAGTTCTCTTCAAATATTGTCTCATTTATCGCCCTGGCGTCTCAAAGCCGTTTCTCTGTCCTGCTGTTGAAAAGTATTTCTGCAAGTTTATGCTGCCAACACCGTGTTTCACGGTGGGGATGCTGTGTTCAGTGTGACGTGTTGTTTTCCTCACTGCTGCATTCTGCATGCATGAGCATGCCCATTTCATCTGACATGGCCTGCTTGCTGTGTTTCTGTGGTCTTCATGGAGTTTCCACAGAGAAGCTGTAAATGGTCTCGTAAAATTGCACACAAATGCGGATTTTATTCACTGATTAGGTGATGTATGAATGCAGTTAGTTGAGTGGCTAATTTCATATGCTAACAACACTCTTTAGCTGTGAAAAAAATAAATAAATAAAATTTTCCCCCACTGCAATTATACGCTAATTTGTGTTTGTCCATCATATAAAATAATAACAACCAAGTTTGAGACTGAGACGTGGCAAAAAGTTTCAGGTCTATGAATGTTTTGCAAGGCAAAATTCATTACACATCAACATGTGATTTCAAGTCAATATTAGTTTACATTTCATAAATCTTCAATGATCTGAAAATCCTTCTTCCAATTAAGCCTGTGCGGAGCTGAATCAGGCTCTTTCTCTTCTGTCTTAAGTGGAATGCTTTTATCACCAGGCTGCTCTTCAAATCCATATAACTGCGAGGCGAACGTATTCTAATCTCTTAATTCAATCTAACTGATCTTTGACCACAGAAAGCCTTTTCCTTGTTAAATCGTAATCCCCAGCTGCCTCATCTGCTTAAACGAAGTGTGCAATTTGCAGACATTATTGCCTGGGGTCTGTAAAGACTCCACAGCAGCAGTCAAACACTGGCAGCGTGCGCTTCAGAGCAACATGGAAGGGAGGTCTGCCTGCCCGTAGTAAAATTAGCCAAAGGAGAGTGCTGGACTTTGCTTCACATTGACCTCTAGCTGTTTTAATTAAATGGGGAGTTTCCTTCTCCTCCTGAGTAATAACTGGCAGAGCTCCTCAGAGGGCCCTTGGCATTCACACTGAAAGCAGTGAAAAGTCTTCAAACTGTATAACCCTGCTTTTAATATCATCACACTCAACCAAACTGGACGATAAAACAACGGCCAGGTGATTCTGGTGTCCTGCATACAGGTGTTGGTTTCCACAGAGGGGAGATCAGAAATAATGTGCCCTAATTGATGAGGGGGATTAAGAGATATTATCTCCATCCTGGAATTTGTTTGGTTTTAACACCAAACAGACTCCTGATGTTCTCAGGAGGTTGTGACAGAAATGCCTCTGGAGCAAAGTTGTTTTGTTTTTCTCCCTTAGGCATATTTACTATAAGTAGCTCAATCATTAGCTTGGAATTGTTTTTCTCTCTTATCTTATGATCTGCAGATACACCAGAGTCCCTATTGTCAGCTTCCCAGTCCTATGGTGGTGGGAGTCATTGCTTCATATGTGCAGACAGAGCCACGGGTAAACACTATGGTGCATCTAGCTGTGATGGCTGCAAGGGATTCTTCAGGAGGAGCATTCGCAGCAACCAAACTTACAACTGCAGGTAAGTTTCATCACACCAAAATGTTTGCTTTGCTGCAGAAAACCCAGAATATCCTCTGTGAAACCATGTCAAACTCTGATTGGAGGAGTCGGGGAGCCCCACTTCATATGCTATAAAAGTTTCATAAAGGCTTTAGTGGCTCCAGGAGGAAACTGGTTAAGTTTAATAAAGTGTCAAAGCTGATGTCACTGGAGTGAATGTTGGAGACTTTGAAAGTAAAAACTAAAGTGTCATTGTACAACATCCAAGCGGTCTCTATATTTTTAATGGAGCTGATTACATAAGTAGCCCTGAAAGAACAGAGGCATACATGAACCCTAGAGAAATTGTGAATAATTGAAAATATAAACCCATAAAATCAAATAAACTCATACTCTCCATGACCAAAGCTGCTTTAATATAACACTTGGAGAAATGGGAGATGGAACACACTATGTTTGAGCCATCCGTACACAGAAATAGCTCAGACATACGTACGTGTATATGTACGTATGTACGTGTAATAAACAGACAAAAGGGTTTATTTGCGTAGCTCAAATATCCAAACATAGATTTCATCTCATCCCAAACAAAGATTTCATCTTTTCAATGTAGTTGATATGGCCATCATGTAGAAGCAGTTACTGTTTTTCCTTGTGATCCTATAGTACAGCACAGGACTATCCAAAGCATGGGAAGTTGACAACTCAATGAAAGCTTTCTGATTTTCTTAAATCAAACTTTGTTTGTTTTTTTAACCAATTGATGCCACAATTGTTACCTTGATTAATTTATAAAGTGTCTTGTAAAATGAATCTGCTCTATATAAATTAACTGAATTGACATGAGAATGCCGTTGTCTTCACTTGTAACAACTCTAAATATGCACACATGTTTCAACAATTTCAGGTTCAACCGGCAGTGTGTTGTGGACAAAGACAAAAGGAACCAGTGTCGTTACTGCAGACTGCGGAAATGTTTCAAGGCGGGAATGAGAAAGGAAGGTCAGAACTTCTTTTTAAAAAAGAAAATAGACAAATTGCCTTCAGTATTCAGACAGCACATTTTAATTAAACCACAAAAGCTTGCATAATTGTTTCCTATTATAATTCCCTTGTTTAAATGTGTGTGTTTAAATCAATTAAGATTTGTTTCAACTGAACAAAAGGAAAACGTTTTGATCTTTAACATGTTATTGTTCATCTTTGTCAGTGTGCTTGTGCGCATTGCATATAATCAGCCTCGTCTTTCACCGACTGACACATATGCAGAGAGAAAAGGTCTATTCTCCACGCATGAATAATTAAAATTCCTTAGCATGGACTAATATTTGGTTTGCATTTTCCGGAATAATGTTTTCCCAGCACTCTGAAGTGAAGGCCAGAGGCAAAAATTTAAATCTGTACTTCTCTAATTTGCCTGATTTCCATAACATGCTGCAACATTACTTCTGAGTTAAGCTCGAAGCACAGCTGTGGTAAAAGCAATACACAAGTCTCCAGCATGGCGGAGTTTTATACTTCACCTCTGAGCATGTTGTAACCATTTGCTCAAAATCTGGACTTAACTGCTGACCCGCAAAAAATCCTTTAGAATTAAATAGAAACTGTCAGTAAGGCTCAAAGGTGGCCAACAGCTCATTTACTTTCACATGTAGCTTGATTAATGTGTTTTCTAAGCCTCTGATGAATGATTACTGTGGGATGACGTTGTGTGTTTGACTTTGTAGACTCACTGAAATCAGTCTGAGGCCATTCAGAGTGCTGTTTATAATGAACTGTACATAAAAAGTAATCAAGAAATATGATATTGCTTCAAGAGCAGCAGGAGCTTATGTAATTAGCTGTTGAAGACGACATGTTTAAAACAATTACACATCAGAACTTGATTCAAACACTATCCGCTACTATGTGAAGCATAATCATAACTGTTTAATATCTTACAGTTTCTATAAAAAGTATTCACCCCTTTACGTTGCATCATTTCAATAAACAATGTCAAAGTGAAATTTAATTCTAAAAAATAATAACAAAACAAAAACTATGTAATTGCATGTCTATTCACCACCTTTAAAGTGTCTGATGTAATTCAACAGACGTCCAGTCAACTGATCCCAAGAGTCTAGAAATCACCTGGCTAATTATACCAACTGAGTGACATTGCAGTTACAAATTTCTGTCAGTTTTCTGGAAGTGAACAGCTATTTGTCGATTCATCATTTATACCAGCTTACAATGGCAGGGTTGGGGTGGTGTCCATCTTTATCGCTTGTTGGATGAGAGGTAGAGTATCTGCTGGACATGCAGAGCAAAAATAAAATAAAAACATACACTACAAACAACAATGCACACACACAGACACTCATCCTATTAGAGATGTTATCCCAACATGCATATTTCTGAACTGGGGAAAGGCCAGAGTACTGCATTGGGAGAACATGCAAACTTGACTCCAGGTCTAGATTTGAACCCAAGACCTTGTTGCTGCAAGCAATGCTGTTGCCTGAGTTCACACATAGTAGTGATATCTGTTTTGTTCAAAAATAATGACAGCTGTCTCACACAAACCTGGCAGGCTGTAATAATGCACAACAGCGTATATATGACCTGCTAGAAGAAAAAATTGAGTAGTTTTATAAAAGGAAGAACTTTACTTTTGTGGTTTATGTTATTACCCAGAATCAACAGCATCTTAGTGTAACCTGAGGATAGACAAAGTTCAATAAGGAAGCTTCTTTTACAGGGTGTGGAAGACAGAGGCTATATATGAAGGAACTAATGAACTTTTCTTAAGAAACTCTCCTTGTTTTGATATCCAGCTGTTCAGAATGAGAGAGACTGCATCAACCCCCACAGAGTCAAGGGACAACCAGTAGGAACTCTGTCCATCAACGTGTTGCTGCAGGCGGAGAACAGCGTGCAACAGGTAACACACTGCTTAGGCTCTCAGATTATCTGTGATGAATACTGATACTTCCCTATTCGTGACTGCAAAATGATCCCTTTCTGTTTCTGAGAATAACTTAGGTGAAGGTCAGAGATGAAAAAATCTTGGATTACATTTTAGACAGACTCTCCTCGGGTTGGATTTAGTTACTCCTAATTGAACTAAAGGACAAAATTGCACAGGGACCTCTTCTAATCATGGCCCATTTGATGTACCAAGAGGTCTGGCATTGAGATCTTTTGCCTTCAAGTACATAATAACAACCAGATATGTGTTTTTAACATTCAAAAGGAATGCATAGGGGGGGGAAAACAACTAGAAACCCTGAAGGTTGATTTTGAAGAATACAAGCAGTTTTCTTAAATACCAAATATCATTTGAGGAATGCAACATTTTTAACAAAAATCTACATGTAAAGCAAACACTTTCTTTTATTGTCATTATTATCAATGTATGTGTGAAAGGAGCTTATGGTGTGAAAGACGATCTTTGTTTTCTGTCTCTCTGTTCTGGGTTACTGTAGGAAGATGACAATGTAGCATGACATGCTAAGAGAAACACCAGTCAGCTCATGGTCAAACTTTTTCCCACTTAGACCAGGTTAAACTGATTCTTCTGCAGGCTTGTTTGCCCACTGACAGAACAAAAAAAGAAATCACTGAAATATTTCTATCAACTCAACAAAAGCTCATTTTAATTAGATAACTTGTATTGTAGGTTATTCTAAATCCATATTTACCATTGGAATTGAAGCACTTGCAAATGGTAGCTCGTCCCATTTGTAAGTAAAGCCTGGATTTGACTATTTTTATATCCTAAAATCTCCTGCCGTCACAGTTCTCCTACTCAAACCAATTAAATCAATGCTCAACTCAATCCAAATAGGGAATGAATGGAAATAAATGGCACTGAATCAAGCAAACCTTAATTAACTTTAAAGTGATTTAATTTAATAAGAACAATTCATTGGGCATTAGATGGCAATTTAAAAGATTGTATTGTACAATGTGTTCAATTGAAAAACTATGTGGATTTTGCCGTGTTTTTAATGAGAAAAAGTTTAAAGGAAGTTGACATTCTCTGGCGTCTGTTTTTATTTTCTACTTGAGCAAGAAAGCAGATTTTGAAAAGATTGAAATAAAATTATATTAAAAATAAAGCTGCTGTACTTGCGTAAGTGTTAGACCCCTTGACCACTGTTGCATTGTGCAGGGCTGCTTTTTGTTCTTAGCTTCTAGTTCTGTTCTCACCTCAGAGTCATAATATCAGCCCCAAGAAAACAGCCTGTGTGGGAGACGTGTTTGAATCAATGAAGCAACAGCTCCTCCTGCTGGTGGAATGGGCCAAACATATCCCAGAGTTTTGCAGCCTTCACATAGATGACAGGGTGAGAAGAGCTTTCGTTTATTCAAAGTGCTTTGATACTAAAAGATGCTGTACATATATATGAAGCAGAATCAATAAACAATGGCTTCGCTTACAGGCTCAGTGAATCACCAAATTACAGCAGCTTCCATTTAAGATATAAAACCTACATATATGTCCATTTGTAGGTAACTCTTCTACGAACCCATTCTGCTGAACATCTGATTCTGGGGGCAGCAAGACGATCGCTACCTTATAGTGACGTCATTCTTTTAGGTAAAATAACCTGTTTGAACACCATCCATTTCTGCAAAAATTGTTCCAATTATGCATGTTTTGTTTTCTTAATCAGGCAACGACTTTGTGATTCCCCTGAGAAGAGCTGAGTTGGAAATGTCCAGAGTGGCTATCAGAATCCAGGAGGAGCTCGTCAAGCCTCTCAGGGAACTGGACATCACAGACAAAGAGTTTGCTTGCCTCAGAGCCATAGTTTTCTTTGCCCCAGGTCAGGCCATACCTCTCTAAATCTGTGTTATAATTTATCTACCAAAACTTTCTGTGGCATCACAAGAACTGAATTCATTATCAGTTCAGGTCTATTTATATTCTTGCCATTTTTCCCCAGATATCCTTCTGAGTGGTGTGGCTAAACTGGATTTTAGGAGTAAAACATTTGGGTATATTGAAGTTCTTGACTTTCAGGCAGATTTGGCTGCCTGCTGAGATTAATGACATGCTGATCTGAGGTCCTTGGGGTAGAAGCAGAGTGAAGACCCAAAGAACGACGAACGAATTGCCACAAAGATTTCTCTTTGTTCAACAAAGTTCTTCTGTGGCAATGATTTAAACATATCATCCCTTAATTCATAAACCTCACAGCAGGATAACACTAAACTGTGTGTGTAGATTTACTGATAAGCTTTTAGAAAATCTTTTAACATTGTTCACAAATATAAAATATATTCCACTGATTTGCAACTGGAGACAGTTTTGATCTTTCTATTGAACAATCTTTTCCATTTATATCAAAGTAAAGGACACTTTTGTGTAATTCTCGGGATTTGGATTTATTTATGTGCAACACAACTATATTTAGAGATAATTGAAAATTTAGCAGAAAATAGTGACTATAAGTAATAAATGCATTGTTCAATAAGATGAGATCCACCACTTATTAACAGTCAATTAAATACTGCTAATAAGTATCTGACACACATTAATTCTACTGATTATTGAGAATGTATTAAAAATTGGGCATGACCTTTTAATAAAATACAAATAAAACCACTCTATCAAATTACTGCTCCTTTAAGATTGTTTCATTATATTTTAAGAGATTGTCTGTTTCTTGGTTGGTCTTAAATGTAAGCATCTTATGAAGCTGGGTCTGTTATCACTTTCAATCATTCTATTGAATAAAATCTCAAGATTTGACAAAAATAAAATTGGATTCATTTACAACTTTCTGATATTCTCAATCTGTGAAAGCACTTGGATGTTAAGATAATATTTACATCTTGAATCAACTGGATCATGATGTTATTTTGACTGGTCTGACATTTTAAGGAGACCTGTAGAAAAAGCTCTCAAAGTTGAATTCTCAAATTACATGTTTGTGTGAACCTTAGCAAGTTAAACTTTTAAAGTAGTTCTATAAAAATCATTTTTTTTCTTTTTTGCTTAAATCTCTTATTACACCTAAGTTTAACTATCCTGGTATTTTCTCCAGCAGACTGTCCAAGCCTGGAGAACCCTCAGGTGGTCCGATACTTGCGTCTCCAGGCCCACGTTCTACTAGAGGAAGTGACATGTGATCAGAGAGGAAGGCTAGGAGAACTTCTGCTGACTCTTCCTGCTCTGCAGAGTGTTTCCTGGCAGATGGTGGAAACGCTCCATTTGGCGAAGCTGCTCGGTGAAGCCAGACTGGACAGCCTGCTGCAGGAGATGCTGCTTGGAGAGGGAACGGCAACAAACCAAGGGCAGAGTGCCGGTAGGAAAAAAAGCACTATAATTATAAAATTAATACTAAAATTTCTCAAATGAACGGAGGTCTTCACTTACAGTTGGATTTGTTACGAATGTTTCCTTCGACTTTTAGGCAGCATCCTGAACTGTGAGCGTCAGAATGACCTCAGAGCTTCTCCTGCCACCTTCACCTCTGAGCTCCCGTGCTTCAACTTGTAAGTATCTCTTAGCAATTAAATGGAAACAATAGGTGATAATTTTATTTTGTCCAATAGTCTAGTTAAATTCACCGTTTAAATATCAACATAACAAATATGCCTTCTTCTATATAAGTATTTTCTGACATTTGTGGTTACTTAACACTGAACTCAACACTAAAAGCTGTGACTGATGATTTTTCTGTCAGGTCTTGCCGTCGTCCTGCTGCCCACACAGACTGGCACTGAGGTGTACAGACATGGAGAGGCTGCCAATGTGCCCACATTGTACCAGAGGTCCATGTCCGCTACAAGTAAACACCTAAAGGAGCAACAATTCAACTGAAGGATGAGAGGAGTCGTGCAAGGCTTTCAGAGGAACACAAGCAGGCATATAGAGACTCAACCACAAACTCAATAATGAAACGAAAACACCTAGAAATAAACAAGTTGCTTACTCCAGCTAGCATTTATTGAACTAAAGTTCTAAATATATATACATATATTACTGTTTTGAATACATTTGAAAAGTGAAGTTTCAATCAAACAAGTGAACTGATAAGAATAGAGAGGAAAAGAGTATTTCTGATATTGGAGTCACTGAACTGAAGTGAAGTGTGGTGTCCAGCAGAGGGCACTAAATGCTATTATTTGACATTTTCAAAAGATTGATTTTATAAATGAACACAACAAGGAAATAGTTTACTTTTAAATTCCCTTAACTACCTCTTTATGTACCCAAAACTGACAACACAACTTCTCTTTATTCAAAGATAATTCTCTTGGTCCAGAAATTGAAGAAATCTGAGTCTTCAGACCAAATGCTAGCAAATCCCACTCTGCACTGAGGAGCAGAGTGGGAAGGGGTGCTCTGCGAGGTGGGAAGTAGGCTGGCGAATGTAGCTTTGTGGAAATAGGCTGATGAGAACAAGCATTTAGGCACCCTTGAATGGTTTCCATAGGATATTCAGGAATTTGTCAAACATGCATGAAAGAATCAAAGCAACACTCCAGGTATGTTTTTGATAAAGGAATAACATAGTAGCATAATATAAAGCTCTAAAAAGTCAATTTTAAAGAGGAACAAACATCTATGGTAATCATAATACATAATTTGAGAGTTTGAGCTCAGGGCGCTAGCAGTTTTAGTTTGTAGTCATTATTCTAGAAGAAAAAAGCTCCTTTAAAGTAAAATGAGCCTTTTAAAGTTTATATAAATTGCATTGAGACAGAGAAATATGACCAGATAAGATCTGTGATCATTCAGCAGCAATGCAAAAGAGCAGGCACTGGAGCTATTTAAGCTTTAAAAGAAGAGCCACACGTGAATAAGAAAACAACATACCAAATCTTTCTTTTAGGAGTGCTGTAAAAAGTGCTTTACTGTCAAATAAATGTTGTTCCATTCAACTAAAGAAGACTGAAAAAAGCTTAAATGTCACTTCAACTTCAAACTAGTTATAAAGTGAAGACACAAACATCATCCTGTTTAGGGTTACTGCATCCTTTTTGGGGTTTAAACAGCATTACTACAAGATGTCTGCAAATTGGAAAAGTTCCCATTAGAGGGTCAGGCTTGTTGATTCATCTCTTAAAGCAAAACTAACTGAGGAAGTATGGCTTTTATTTTGAAGAAACATACAAAATGACTCCCCGTCTTTTATTAAAAATTTGATTGGACTAACTCTTTTAGATTGTTATTCTGGTAAAAGATCCAATGGGGACCTAATTTCAGTTTTACAGTACAGTGCACCAAATTTCTTATTTAAAATTGTATGGTGGTCATGCACTCTAACAAGCCACAGCTGTTTGTCGTGCAGGCATTTAAAAGATTAATGCAAGTTAATCTTCAGCCTGTCCAAGGTCAGCTTGGCCCCTCAATGTTACTCCACCCCAATAAAAATTGTGTGAATAGTTTGTGCTAGTTTGCCTCGCAAACATTTTTGTCAGTATGACAAACATGACAAACAAATAGGGAATGAATTTTTATTCATTCCCTATTTGGATTGAGTTGAAGTAGCTATTGTCTACTTCAATAGTCATATGTAAGCTACAGCCCCATCTGGTGGTCAATAATTTTAGAATTTCTTCTTTTATATTTTAAAAACATTTAAGATTACATTTGCATGAACACAGAAGTTTACAGCTGTTAAATTGGAAGAATATGGGAGGGCAAGCTTCACTCAATTAGTTTAGATTGTAAACTCATCTCTGTGAAATAATTATATTATGGTATTTTCCAGTTGGCCGTAGTGAAGAATGACTGCAGCCACAATTTATACACTTGTAAACGTCGGCTGACATTTTTACAGGCAGGGGATTTTGATTAAAATACATCAACATCAGAGTTCACAGACAACAACGCCAACCAGAGCAATCTTTGAGCTCCAAATCAGTGCTTGGATTGCAGAGTTTAACATAAACTGACCACTGCACTGACCTGCTGGGTTTGTTTGACCAAGAGAGTTCAGACAGAGGAGTGATGTAGGCATGGTGAAACAGCTGTGTTTGCTGAGACAAGGCAGAGATGTGTGTGTTGATTTTCTCTTCTGTAGCCTTCCAAGAGTTTCACAGTGCAGAATTTGGGTCAAAATCCAAACAATATAATGAGTAGTTGTGGTGTTTTAGAGCAACATAATGATATATGTGCATTAGAAAGCTTTACAGTTGTGTGACGAGTGTCAGCAAAGAGTGAAAGGACGGAAAGCACCTGTGTACACCAACGCAAAGACACGTCACTGGGACAAAACTGCAACCCAACCACTGTTTGAGTTCTACCATTGCAGACAAGCAGAATGAAAAACACAAGGATGCATAACAAATTTCAAATAATCAACTAGTAGATAATCATTTTGCAAAGCATAATATCTTCAAAATGCACAGTTGTGTCCTCATGACAATTATTCATAGATCAAGACAAACAGTTTCTCAGTGTATTGAGAAACTAATGGTGAATTTCCTGTTACAGAATGGGTTCCATGGGAAAACAGGCATAGAGTCAAACTGGTTTCATTTTTTCCCCAATGGAAGATACCTGATCCTGTGGAGAGGAAAGGAGCATCAGTATCTCAGTTTGTCATACAGCTAAGCAGAATTTTTACAGGATTGAATCGTTTTTGTTCTCACTTAAAACTTCTGCCTGATACAAGATAAAGACCCAGAGCAACTTTAGTTGAACCTGGCTTTCCTCTGATAATATTGCCCCTAAGCAAATATGCACAGCGTACTTTTGATGGCCAGCCCTATTTCAACACTAATAGATGCCAATGTTAGATGACTACCAGTGAGTTTTGGACACCTACCAAGAAAACAAAAAGAAAACCCAGGCTTGGAAACACTTTTGCCTTTAATATAACATTGTCCAAAAAAAACAAAAAAGACAGAAACATGTGTTTGACAGAGTGCAAGTTTTTCCATAACACTCAGCTGTAATTAAAAAAAATGTCCCTTCAATATATTTAGCACATCTCACATTTTCTACACTTCCACATTAGATTGTAGGATCTACCAGAGGCTGCATTGCAGATGGTGAAACTGCACTGAGGGCAGCATCTGCCTTGTATATAAACTGATTGGACAATTAGTCTCCAGCGTGGAGAGAAAAAAAAAACTTTCCACAAACTTGAATCTTTGTCAATTAGACATTTTTCCATGAGAGCCTCAAAGCTACAGGGAGCACCTCAGAGCTTTTGTTGTCAACATGAGTCTTCTATATCACATCGTCTGAAATGCATGTGTTCAAATCATTTTGTTGCTGGGTTTTCAGTTTCAGTTTATTCTGCTTGGTTGAAGTATTGTTCACTTCAATTCCTCTTTTATTTTAGGAGTGTTTCTTTTCTCCTATTTTAGTACCTGGGCTTTTCAGTTCTTGCAGTATTATTCATTGTTTCCACCTGCGTCTTGTCACCTGGACAGTGTATGCATAACCTTGTCTTTCCCTCTCTCTTTTTTTTCCATCTATACACTTTGTCTTTCAGTCTAATCTCAAGTGATGTTATTTTGGCTGTTTTAAAAAGTTTCTATTGTCTGTCTGGGTTCTGCAGCACATTCAGTTCTTCTATGTTGATAAAAGCCTCTTGAATCCATCAGTCACCTGTCTCCCATGTTTGGACTTTTTATAATTTCTCCACGCATCAGTTTCACGATTGACAAAACTGCGTCAGTAAAAAATAAACTGCATGTCAAACTGCGTCCATAAGAAAGTTAAGGGATTAAATAAATAATACATTTTAAAAGTTTGTCATCAAGAGGTTTACCTTTGTATCAACTTGCAAAAGCAGCCATGCCAACAAATCCATGACTCTTATGTCTTTAGTGAACGTCTGTTATGCTTATTGTTCAAATATTTGCTGTCGAGGACCACTGCAAAAAAAATCAAACAGAAGTTTTCAAGAAATGCAGAAAGGTGTTAAATAGTTGATTGTCAAGCTGAACTTGTTACAGTTATATTGTTGTGTTTTGCAAGAAACTGAAAGCAGGTGATAGATTGGCCTCCATCAGGGCACATCAGAACAGAAAAACCCACAAAAGCACCACAGCTGTCATCGCAAAGCAACAGCTGGGACCAACAGAAACTGCTAGAAACAGACAGACACTGATAAACAACGTGCTTTAGACTTAAAATGTGTTGACTTTTTCTTATTTATTGGTGCATATTAGATAAAGAACATAAATTATATTCTTTGCCAATGAAAAAATATATTAGCAATAGAGCAACTATTTCTAAGAAAGAGAAATCTCACAAATATCTTAAAATACCACAACTTTCTTTCCATTGAGAAAAACTGCACAACACCCTCACACCCACAGCACCTAGAGACTTGTTTCTCACTCAACAGAGCTCACTGGTTCCAGGAAAGCATCCCAACTAAAGTAGCATTTTCAGGTCAACTTGAAGATGTATTGCGTCAGCAGGCCTGTTAGGAGAGTCTGTTGGTCAGCAGTTTTATCTCCCTTCACTCCCTACAACAGGAAAACACCACACTGAGTAACTGAGACAGTTTGCTAAGACGTCAAGCTGCAGCCACCACTCCCAAAATATGAATTATGGTTTGTGGAGAGACAGGTTTTTTTGTTTTTAGTTTGGTTTTGCTACTCCCCTTTTTGAGCAGAGACTAAACCTAGCTTTAAATATAGGTTTTATTACAAACACAACTATCCTTTAACCCTTTACTATTATTGTCGGTAAACTATATTTCTGGAGTGCGTTTTATGCAGTCCTAACAAATTAATGGGCCGTCTTGACAAGAAACAGGCCATGTTGAATAAAGTCCAGATACACAAAGAGAAACATTCCTATAGAGTGAAAACATTTTTGCACAATTACACAGAAAAAGCAAATATACATTTATCATAGCTGTCTAGAATTGTAATTTGTCTACATAAAAACAATGCCAGCATGAGCCAAAAATAGAAATAATGTTAGGTGTTTAACAATAACTAACAAGGTATGGTCTTGTGTTCAAATAAATAATGAGGAAATGAATCTAGCTAAAAGAATGTGTCTTTTCTTTTGTAAAACCTACCAAAACGCTTAAAGAGGGCACCAACACTCAACTTATCTGGGAAGCAAACCTTTCCCAGACCCCATTCATTCCCACTGTGTGAGAAGAAGCTCAGAGGGAGTTTCCAGGCCCTACTACAACAAACTCACCGTCACCAGCTTGAACTTGGGCTGTGATGCTCAGTCTGACATTTGTCTTGGCAGGAGGAGTCAGTGCCAGCATGACAGCAGATGACATTTAAAGCATGGGAAAGGCAGTCTCGGGGTATTAAGAATTCGAATTGGCAACACAGAAATAGCAATGGTTGGCCATGAAGTGGTTAGTGAGGGACCAAAGTGAAGAAAAACCAACAGCGGCATAAAAAAAATAAATAAATAACGAGTTCTTTGATAATGAACAATATGGAGAACTTTGAGGTTCAGGAAAATCACAGGAGGAGTAGGTCATGGAGAGCATAGGCTGCGTAATGGAAGAATCCAGCAAGAAACAATGACAACCAAAAGCTTAAATATTAAGACAGGGCTGGAAAATGACAACTGAACCAGATGAACTAATCAGAGGAAATGAGAGACTTGGGGCAAAATGAAAACTTAGCAAGAGAGACTAGCATAAAATGGGCTTCCAAATCAATCTGAAACTATGAGAAATCGAATCCAAAATATAAAACTTTAGTAGCAATAATAACTGAATATGGCTATTAGTAATGTCAGATCATTATTTCCAGCCCAAAACTCATTTAAAAGGTGCGACAACAAGCAAAATGCCATTCAATAGTGCTACATGGAGCATGAAGCACAAAATGACTATATTTCAAGAAATTTAACATCACCTTTAAAAAGAAATACAACAAACCAACAACCAGCAACCACAGGAAGATTAGAGCCAGTAAAGGTGAAATGTCAAACAGCCTCCAAAAACATATTTCCAGATAGGCTCCATAACAACTCTATTTATCACAATCGGTGAGCACACACACTTATAAAAAGCTACTTCTACATAACTACGCTTGAATTTTAGTGCAAACATTGATGCAGAGTAGACTGTAGGCTGGAATGCACAACTTTAGTCCTTTCCTGAACTAAAACATCAGTACATGGTTCTGTCAAATTTCTATAAAAACTGAAGTTCATCTATTGATTGATTGATCCTGAATGCACGTCCATCAAACTTGACAGGAGCGGCAGGCCAACAGGGTTTCTAGGGCCATTGAAAGAAGCTCTTTCAATCCGTGCATTAGTTGCAGAAAGGTTGCGCACTTTGATAGCACCAAGTGTTAAATTCCAAAAGCAGTCTTATATTTTTGCCCACTTCAGCATTTTAAGTCCAGATCTATCACTGCACTTTCACTAAGTTGCTACTAAAACTAGCATAATTCCGGCGTCCACACGTTCTTCGTTGTCAACACAGGTAATAACAAATCAGTCAGTGATGATGGATACAGGTCATTGGTTGAAAATGGTTCCAAAAGTTTAACTCAACATGGAAAAGCATCTGATCCATACCCTAATTTAGAAGGTGGCAGTGATGCACCTAAAAGTTGTTTGCCAAACCCCATAAAGAAGAAAAGAAGAAGAAGAGAAACTCTACATTGAATTCAACCATGCCCAACATCAAAATTGGGCATGGTTGGGCATAACATCTGTGCAGAAACCGTGAATCTTGCAATCTTACAACTCTGGCAGCAAGACCATTCTAACCATAGACTCGAACAATAATAAACTGTGACATAATTAGAGAATCATGTAAGGATTACAAAAGAACCATAAGTGCTAACAATTAATCGTCTCTGTATGAAGAGAAGAAAAATAATGGCACCTGCCTGCAGTTACAGCCCCTTAATGAACTATGTTAAATCAGAAAACTCTAAAAGAAAATAGTGAGTTATGTATTCACAAACTGAAGAGAAATTACAACATCACTCAATGATTGAAGACTTAAAGGAGAGGTAAATGTTTTCTTACAATCGCAGACAAGACATGAATCAAGTAGAAATATTTCCAAAGTATGCACTCCTTCTTAGAGTCACCTAGTCAAAACCCTTCAGCACTAGAGAAATAAATACACCAAACACTAAATTTATTACTTTTTCTCAGAAAATATACTGTAATTCTAATGCTTTAACAAAAGGTAAAAGCTGTTTTAATTCTCTTTCTTCAAGTCAGACTGATGCTTCACATCTGCCCTGCATACTGTTTTCAGTTCTTTATAATAAATGGCTGCCACGCAAAGTTGAGGTTAGTAGCTATAGGTGGGGAATCTCTTTTTCTCAGAAACAAGAATTGTCAAGTTAATGTGAAGAGAGTATTCCAGAGTCATTGGAAACAGAAATTCTTGAGCTCTTTAATGTTTACTTTCCACCCTCCAAAAAAGGGAGAAGAAGTTCGTAGTAAGCTTTTTTTTATTTCTTTTCTTCCCCCATTTGCTTACTACACTGGAGTTGTATTGCAAATATGCATTCACTGTCACTAGAGCTCACATAACATCTGGCAGAAGATGGCAAAATGCACAAAAGTCTAACCAGGTCAATCAGAATTACTTAATCATAAAGTGAAAATATTAGGAGCAAATGATACCATTTTCTTATTTATTCCTTGACAGTATCCATTACAACTTTGGGACTGCAGATAAAAATCCATCTAAAACATGTATTAATGTTACTGTTTTTTTCTTCATCAAGTATTCTTCAGAGTAAAAGTCCAACACAGGAGATTGAAATGCGTTAGAAAACCTACTATTCCCTATTTGTGCAGAGTTTTGTCTAAAGTGCAAGTAGTAAAAACTGACAGCAGAAAGATTCCAATGAAGTTCTGCGAAGGAAACCTCTGCAGTAATAAATCATACTTCTCCATTAATTAGTGTTGGGTTTTGTTTTGTTTTTTATTGTATAGTTGTGAAAAGGAAGTACGCATTTGCCTTGTAACCTTAATACATCAAATGTTCTCCAGCGGCTCCAGAGTTTCTCCTGGTTTAGCTCTTACACAAGCCGTCTGTCGGCAGAGCTTTTTAAACAGACAATACCACTGGCACTCAGGCTTTGTTTACTTCTTCTGAACTTTCCGCTTCTCTTGCTGTTCCACTTGGAACAAAGTGCCGACAAACTCTTGTGCTACTTATTGGTCTCATCTTTTTATCATGGAGGACAGAAAAGGCACAAAAGAAGCAACCATCCATTACTGGTGTGTGATTTTGTGCCATCTTCACCGTGTGATGACAGATTCCCAAACTGGGCTATGAGTGAGGCCTTTGTTACAGCACCTATAATGAGCTTCTCCATCTTTACACTTTGCTTCTGACAGCCGGTTTATGTAGCAGTGCAGCATTTTATGAACTTATCGCCAGACAAATACTAGGCTAATGAGGCAGCTTTGCGAAAGAGAGCTATTTCTGACTTCAAGGAATCCCAAAGCGTTCAGTGGAAAAGTTTAGCTAGTTGTATATTGTGGAGAAAAAAAAAACAAAAAAGTAAAGACTGGAGAATTGCTACCCATGGTTGAGCATTTCTGTGCAGAGCTAAATTTATGATTAATTTCTCAATCAAAGTGTTTTAGTGCAACCCCAGTATTCATATAATTAACAGTTATTTTTCCAAATTGCCGACTTTGTACTCAAAACTGAACCCTATCCTTCAAATACTTGGTTGAGTGTTAGGAATGTGCTAAATTATTGTGACCCTCTGTGAGGATCAATGTTGAAAATCACAATAGATTACAAGACTTGCAGCTTTTCGTTACTTTTTTCACATTAGCACAAGTTTAAATATATTTGAACACGGAGAAGAGAATGTCTTCTAAACTAAGGACTGTTTTATACCACGGTACACGGTTCTGATCAAATAAATCTGCAGGCATTCAACATGTGGATCATGAAATGCTTTTCCGAGAAGCATAGTGCATCTCAAGAAAGAAAGAAAAACTTTCTGCGGGACCATACCCTCAACTGCTATATGACACGTTTATATTTCCAGTGTCAGGAAGCGTTTCTGTGTCCCACTTGGCTGAATACACTCCATCAACAAAGATTACTCATCATTTCCCTGAAGAAGACTCCTTGCTTTCCCTGTCTGCTTTCTTTTTCCAGGAATAAAACTAATTCCCAAGGAGGAAACCAGCCCGTGACAAACTCTGGGGGATCTAAGACTGACGACAATATGCAGATTATCTATCAAAATTAAAAAATGTAAACATCAATAGGGATGGACTCCTTTCTTGGAGGATTGTTAGAAAAACATCCATGAATGCTTTGACTATCTCATTTAATCATTTGTTCAATGATTTTAGAGATTTTTAGCTGTCAAAGGAAGATTTCTCATTTTGTGCTTAATGGGAATAAGACATTCATTAGTCATAACTCTTGTAAAAGTAGCATCATTTTCTACCAAAGACTGGTTGATCTTGGAGACGTTTTTGTGGTTATGTTAGAGCAGAAAATTTATTTTTTTTAAACTGGACAGAAAAGATGTTGCAATAGAAGGGAAGAATGCTGTGTCAACAACGTTTTGGCATGGAAATTTTGTTCAAGTGATCCAGAGATGATAAAAAACACAATAATCAACTACTTTATGAGACACACTCACTTTCCTTTTCCATCTTGGGACTTCTGTCTTTATTGATCCCATATCCCTTTGGCTTTGACCCTGGACGAAATCGGTCAGCAAAGCTTGGTCAAGAAACAATCCTTAAAATAAACATAAATGTGAACAGTACTGTAAATGTTCTCATCAGACAAACAGCATTGTGAAACGTTTGTCTTTTTTCAATCTATGCATTCTGTTCCTTCTACTTTTACAACAATTGTTTGATTAACAAGCAGCTCAAAACTCGTTACTATCAACAACATTTTTACTCTGTTGGTCCAGGATCAATTTTATTTTAAAAAATCAGAAATTCCTCCACTTGGACTGTCTTTCCTGAACATGCTCTTCTATTTTATTTTATTTTTTTCATCACTTCCTTATTGCGTGAATTCTGCTCCGTATGTCTTACAAGTGACCCAGATCTTGGCTGTAGATCCCGTTTGCAAACTGCACACAAACACCACATGGCTTTTCCGCAATAACAATGGAAAACTCCACATCAAAGCTCAGCAGAGGAGAATTTAGGCTTGATTTATTTAGTCTTCATGAAAATCCATTTCAGTCACAGAAAAACTGTGTTGAAAAATTAAGTTATTGTAAAACACAGCGAGATTAAATGACTATAAATCCTCATTTTTTCCCTGTCTTCTTTGTTTGGGATTTTAATTTGTACTAAACAGAGTCAATATGCCAGAAGACCATTAGTCAGCTTTTTAGCGGTCTAGACCCATTAATTCTGAGAAAGTATTTCCAACTAATCAGCCATATTTTAACTGTGATTCAAAAACAAAACATTAAAACATGAAAAAATTTGGGCATCAAAGTCTGTATTTAGCTTAACAAACATTGGTTTCTGTTTGGAGAGGTTTTAGTTGGTAACAGATTATTCTTGTTATCTGTTGTACCTCTGTGAGATGTTCGTCTGCAGAATAATTACTCTGTAGATGAAAACACAGAATTTGTCGATCTCAGACTGTCCTACAAGGTTTAGAGAGAATAAATCGGTATTTTCAGACATAAATCCTTTTCACGTCCTAAATTCTGTGGAGGACCTCCCAAGATCAACAAAAGATCTTAGCAAATAAATGTTTTCTGCAAACTCAAAGCAATATAATTTCTATTTAAACTAAAATTGGCTCTATAGTGTCAGCCAAGATAAAAAGTCAACGATTTGCTTCTGTCAAAATAAATAACAAATGGTTAATCAAAAATATTTTCTACGTTCATTAAAGTCTAACTTATCAAAAGCTTCTGACCTTGTCTTGATTTATGCTAGTTTGAGGAGTAAAGTTTGGGAAAAGAAAAAAAAGTTTTCAAATCTGACATTTGAATGGGTCAGATCCTCAGCTCAGAACCGCCTTCGCTGAAAGATCAGAAAACTTCACTAAGGCTCAGATCTCACCGCCTCCCAGTGATAGAAATCCAAGCGTGAACGCTGTTTTCTGGCTTGAAACCCATTCTGTAGTCAGAAGGGAGTGGCTGGTTTACATGACCCGTTTAGTCAATGTTGGGTAATTTACCACTCTAGATCTTTCCAGAACCAGAAACTGTACGAAGGGGTCTTTTCATGCTTAACCCCTTCTTAGTTCAAGTCAACAACTTCTCTACTGTGCAGCTGAACAACTAATCATGGAATATTTCAGAAAAATGTTCCTTAATTTCAGTGGTAGAAGAAAGTATATACTTTGAACAAAACATTCCAGTGTCAAAGTATTATTCCTGCATTATGAACAAACAGGGATTTAACCAGTCTTACCACTACAATGGTTTTAGTCACAAGAGTCGAGTAGGAAGTTTTTCAAAGTAGGTAGACACAGCTAAAAAGTCAGATTTGATAATTAAATGAATTTATCGGAAACTTCAATGACCAGACCAGCTTACTTAGTTTCATGTGGTGTCTGGGTGTTTCAGACATGAAAGTGTGCTGATTCATACGGTCAAGAATAATGACTAAATCTTTTAAAGTTTTTATTGGGATTTGGACAGTTGTGTTGTTCAGTAACTTTCCAAATTTGAACACAAGCCTTGATTGGCAATGTGTGTCTTCAGAAACAATCCAAAAGACACTGAAAAACTCAACTTAATACAGCTGAAACAGTATAAGCTAGGACAATATTCAAATATGTAAACAAAAGATTGCGTAAGCAAAAGTCCAATATTTCGCAACTTTTGCCTCCACTAAAACACTGTAATAAAAAGCACATTTTGAGACAGAAGAAACTAAGGCTGGAAAAAAAGTTTTTTTCATCAAAGCTATTTGGGGATTTACATGGGAATACAAATCTTTATTTTCTCTGACAATGGGAGTAAAACAGTCATTCCACAGCTGTTTATCAGCAACATGTCAAGGGTCCTGTCCAACCAGGGCTTAACTGAATCTGAACATCTGCCTTTGTCAAAAGCCCTGCAGTAAGAGGGGTTACTAGAGTATAACTCGACTCTTTCCCAGTAAGCTGTAAATGAAGCAACAGCATGTACATATACTGTATTCTACAGTTCACTGCTGAATAGAAACTGTATGTTGGCATATGAAATTGACAATAAAGATGATTCTTTCTGTCTCCACTCCTTTTAAGGAGTTGCTGACTGAAATATCTGCTGGCAGATTGTGTACTGTTTGTGGTTTCTGAAAAGTGATCGCTATAGCTTGCTGATCCCGTCCTCTTGGATCTGTGCGACACGAATGTGGTCAGTGATACCGCTCCAAAGACAACAATCAGATCCTGGGTGGCCTTCATCTCAATTTCATTCAGATTTCATGTTAAACAGAAATTGGCGAAATACTCTGGACAAAGTACATTTAATAATCTTATGAATGAAACGCGCCACTCTTTGGCTGATGAAAGCTTGAGTTCTAGAGCACCGTTGTAGAAAACTACATCTACAGTACAGTGAAACAAATACATTTCAACTGCTTCAGCTCAAAAATTGTATCTTTACAAAGGTTTTCAATATCGGAAACATTAATTCCCATTTAGTCCTGGAAACCTGGAGGAAATAAATCAATAAAAATAATAATCAATAAATCAATTTCAGTTTTAAAAATGTATCTTGAAACATCTTTAATAAAAGCATAAAAACATACTGATCCTTTTGTATTTGTAGAACATATTTTATTTTCATATTGTGCAAAAAAATTATAGGACATCTGTTAAAAAACAGCACAGAAAACAAACAAATATACATGTTTTAATCATAGTTTTAGAGGATAAAATTTAAAAACAAGGATCATATTATTTACAGTTGCCGTATTTTACAAAACTTTCATTAATACAAAATCTCCCTTCCAAAAAAACTGCTGAGCAAAGCAAAAGGACTGAGGTAGAATAAAGAGATAGAAAGACATGGCATACATGGCTGCAGTTTTTCCAGATTCTCACTCTGACTATAAATACAAAAGCTTTTCATCTACATTTAAAAAAACAGGAGGCACAACAAAGCTTAAAAGTGCTTTAACATGTCTACTGTGCTTTAGGACCGTAACTGAAAGCAAAAGGCCTACAAAACAAAATGTATTTGTTTTAGCAGTAATTTGAACAAAGACGCGTGTCCTTTTCTAGGATAAAACAAATCAGCACAGTAGGTATCTTCTCTAATTGTGCTGCATAGCACTAGTTGTTCCTGCAGTTCAATGTCACAAACTGTTACGCGTCCTCATACCATTAACATACAAACGTCTCTGTACCTGAACCATGCAACACATTCAATTGTCATAAGTGGGGGCAGGGACAGCGAAACATTTTCATAAATACATCAAGAGGCATCATAAAGGCATCAAGAAATAATCAGAGAAATAAGCAAGCACTAAACAAGACAGAGATATTGGAGCTCATCTTATAAAAATGTATCTGGTGTTTGATATATTCCCACAACTTTATTCTTCAGAAGCTCTCCTTTCCTGTGACTAGCTCCCACACACAGTCTCAACTTTTAAATGTAATTTATACTTGACGTGACGCGACGGCAAGAGTTTTAAGATTGTGGTTTGAGCCTCTAACCCGGCTAATGGGGTACAGCTTGGGCCTTAAGAATTTTCATTAAATATTTAATCTAACTTGGAAAAAAAAACATAAAAAAGAAATTCTTGTGGATCAGAAATCTCTGTTTCTGTTATTTGTTGGTCAGAAACTAAAATGTTTGGCAGCTTGTCCTCTAAATGCTCAGCAGTAGAAAATTATAACCCAGTTAACCAATAAAAAAAATAACTAATAAAGCATTAACAATTTAATATATTGTAAAAAATCATTATGTATTCTGGACAGGATTAAATACAGTGTGATCAGTATACATTCTTGTGTATGAAAACCAACATATATATTTAATATGAACATTATTGTAAACTATTTCTGTGTACCTACAATATTTCAGCACCAGCTGTTCAATTCATAATAAAATCTTCTGTATTCACAGATTATGTAAAAATAAGGACCATCAAAATACAATATGCCCAGATGGTGAAGAAGCATTTCTACTGGAGATTACAGTGATAAATGGTGGGACAAAGGAAATGTACATATTTTCAGACTCCACTGCACAAGAGTCATTGTATCCAACCTGTGGGCACTTTCTGCGTTTCCAGACCAGCTGAGCAAACTCTGTTGGTCCTCAGACTTCAAAAGTGTCACACCTTCACGGCAAAGAGTCTAAAAGAGCCTCCGTCTGTGTTGCTTTGGCTGAAAATGGACAAAAAAGATGTGTTATCTTTCCTGTTAAGTAAATAATGCAATCGTTAATTAGCTAGCGAAAGTGTCCATGCCTTTATACCCACAAATTTGTATTTTACAGAGATCAGATGAGATACATTTTCTTTACAAGTAAAAATCTGTGGTGTTGTGTTTGTATTCAGTCGACACGCTTCCTTAGTTTGTAGAAACATCTTTTGGCTGCAAGTGGAGAAGTTTCTCAAGTTTTCTTTTTGAACAGCTTTGCATAGTTACAGACTGGAAATTTTGCCAAATTCTTTTACAAAATTACCCCAAGTTCAGTCAAAGCTGTGAATATTAATTTTCAGACTCCCCACAGATTGATAAATCAGCCACATGTGATGAGTTTTGGTCTTTTTAATACATGAGGCTGACTTGATCTCAGCCTTTCCATTGTGGCTCTGACTGTACAGTATGTGGTTCTGATTAATGTTGTTGCCTCAATGAGTTGAAGTCATTATTAATGCATATGTTGTATTTTAATCTAACTTCAGGTATGAATACAACAGTCAGAGGTGAAGTGGATTTTTCCCTCATGGTTCAAATGATCTCAACAGCAAAATCCATCAAGGAATAAATCACGAGTTGATATTTTTGGTTGAAACCGCCACGAAACCTGCTGTTTCCAGAATGACTCACTGCCCCAGTATTTCTAAATACGAGGGGGTTTTCTTTTGGCTCCCACATGTGCTCAACTCATTGATATTAATTAGTTCATTAGCAGAAAGACCTTGAAGCTGTGCCACGATCAATAACCACGATAGGCTAGAACTACTGGAGTCCTGTAACAGATAATTGTTCGTACGGGGAAGCTGGCAGATTGGCTGACAGCGTCTCCATTCTGCAGTAATTGGATAGGCTGTAATTACATTCACAGCAGCACAGAGCAATCTAAACTGCCCACGCTGCCATGATGTTGGCACATGGCATTAACTCCTCCTCAGGCACTTACTGACCTCCTGTCCCAATGCCCCAAGTGCGGCCTTCACAGCTCTGCATCGGGTTTCAAACAGCCAGACTTGGATTGTTATTACCAATTCAGCACTTTGCTCAGTCAGTTGAAATCTATGGGTAAAGTAAGCAAAGAGGCAGTGTGTGGCCTAACCACACACCAAACCACACCATCACTCTTGCATCCCACATATGCCAGCAGCGCTGACCACGAGGACTTTCTTACCTGAGTTAGTCCACTGGAGCTAACCAAAGACATGAAAGTGATTTGTGAAGCATAGCGTGCAAGCAGAGAACCCACGACATTGGCTATTGCAGCGGACATCAATCACCCAGCTTCCTCGGACATGGTCTGCTTTGTCTTGTTAAATGTGCTTGTTGGTTTCAATAATCATACGAAAAACCTAAGCGAATTAAATTTAATTTCAAATCTTGCTAAGCATTGAACAAGATCCTGAAATACTTTATTCATCTACTAATGCAATTTCAAAGTGTTCAATCTCATTTATGAGGAAAAAACTAACATGTCCAAAGTGGGGCTATACCTTTGCTTGAAAGGGGACAATTCTGTGGATATCATGCAAAACATCGTCACCTTCCTAAAGCACTGGCTTCCTCTTTCAGCAAGAAGAAGTGACTTTTTTTTCCAAAATCTCTAGGATTGTGACTATATTTATTTTCTAGAAGGAGTTGCAAAGTGAAGCATTTACAGTTTGGCTTTGCAGCAAGAAACTCCTGGGTTCAAAACCCAGCCAGGACCGTTCCAGTGTTTAGTTTGGATGTTCTCTCTGGGTATGTCGGCTTCCTCCCACAGTTCAAAGACGTTCATGTTAGAAGAACTGACATTCCTGATCACTCATTAGTGTGAGTGTGTGATTGAATTATTGTGTTGCTCTATGATGGACTGGTAACCTTTCGTCCTGTGGAGACTGGAACAAACCAGACAGTAACCCTTCAAGAACTGAGCAGGTGTGAAAAATGGATTGACAGACGAACGTTTTCTACCAGAAGTTGAAGAAGGATTCAGAAGTAGGGATTTGGGATTTTAATGAGAACATGGGAGTATTTTTTATCTTTTTTATTGTTATTTGTATTCATTTTATATTCATTACAATACAAAGAACAGAGAAGAAACCCATGACAGGAGTTATTTTTAATAAATTAACTTTAGTTTAAAACTTCTCTGAATGTTTTCACAGCCAAGGAGGGCCTATAAGTTCTCAGTATGAGTGTTTTAGCTATTGTGTTTTTTAAAATTCAAACTAAATTCTTTATTGTTTGATTTAAATTGCAACTAATGAAACATGATGCAAATTTTTTAAAACCTTTGTACCTTTCAGAAATGAATAATGAACCTCAATGGGGTAAATATATAACTACAATTAGTCTAGTAAACACCAAAACAGCGAGGTTACCTTTCAGACTGGATGCCATTTTTTAGGACTCCAGTGTAACTCTTTCTTCTTTCCAGTGGCAGAACATCAACAAAACCTCCTTCTGCTTTGATTGCCCCTGCATGGATGGCCGATTTGCAAATGCTAGAGCTCTGTGAAGAGCAGAAAAAAAGTGGAAAAACCTTGGCACTTCAAAAAAAAAATACTCATACACACAGAAGGAGTGTGCAGAAGTCTGGCATTAGCGTAACAAGCCATAAGTTCTTATCAGGAGAGAGTAATTATTCAATTCCAATCTAAACACAGATCACGCTCTCCACTCATGCAATGATTCTAACCAGAGGTTTTATATTCCATGTTTAACCAACATTTAGTCTCCTTACCACTGCAGAAACATATCTGAGTGTCCTGTTTTGCAAAACATACTTTAACCCTTTGTTTAGTTTTGACCTGGAGCTCTTACTAAGTCTCAGAAGGACCAAGAATATACAAACAGCCCACAGTAAAACTAAAAAACTAGCAAACTTTTGGAGCTCTTTCAGCTG